CTGCGTTAGGATGGTAAGAGATATGCAATTATATACGTATTTATAGCGAGTAAAAAAAAAAACAAATACGGTCAGCACCAAACCAGACTTAAATGAATCACATAGATAAGAGTTCTGCGTTAGGATGGTAAGAGATATGCAATTATATACGTATTTATAGCGAGTAAAAAAAAAACAAATCCGCTCAGCACCAAAACCAGACATAAATGAATCACGTAGATAAGAGTTCTCGCTAAATCACATCCTGTTTATCAGCGTCCCCCACCCAATTGACTCAACTTCAAAATAAAAATAAACAACTATTTACAATACAAATGCATCAGCATAATATTTTGCTACCCTTCCTCATCCTCTCTTTTCATCCACACTTTCTCCTCCAAGTGAATATAATTCCTTTTCTCAATGAATGCGCTACCGATATTTGCCCGCAATAAGAGTGAACCAAATAACTCCTTGCTGAATTCAGTAAGATTTACTAGCGCCCTTGGATTGTGAAACATCCATACAACCTACATATATAAACATTCTCTAACCACGTCGCAATAAGTTCAAATCTCGACCACAACGTACGTTTATCATACTTTTCAAGCGCCTATTATAAGCATATGTACATTGTTAATCTTCATACAAACTGTTCTGTTCAGCAAATTTATTTTCTGCGCTCATTTCAGAGTACTTTTTGCTTACCCGATACATACAAAGCATGTCACACCTTGCCCCTTACCCCTCCCTCAATGCAAACACTTAACCAAACAATGGCACAGCAGTCTAAATGTATCCAAACAACAAACATATATACACTTTGTGCTCGTATCTGCTCGCTCAGCATACGAATAAAGTGAACATCGGCCAATTACGCCAACAGCAGCAGTCGACCTGGGAATTTTTTTATGTACTTGGGTTTTTTTTCTTTCTCGTTTTCACTTTGTACTTTGTATTTTAATGCTTATATCCTAATATCAGTACAAAATTTCACATTTAAACAAGTTTGGATTAGCTAAAATTTAAAGAAGCTGCTCTAATCATCACCTTTATGTATTTTTAGCAATAGGTATAATATTAATTGTATTTTTCAACGATTAACTTTTCTTGTACGAACAGCAGTTGAGAGATGACAACACGCAACTAAAATGGCGGACGTTTCTCCATTCGGTGTTCATCCGTTTTCATTTGTATTAACTTTGACGTAGTTACATTGCATATGTGAATGTGGCTGCTTGCAAACAAAATAAATTGAGAGAGTTGGACAATCTATATTTGTATATCAGTACAATAACAACGTGATGCCAATCGTTTGAAACTATGAAATCCATCAAAAAATCCAAAAACAAATCAACAAAAAAAATGTAAGCGCGACTTTAATTTTAAAACAGAACTAAAGCAGTCGTCGCATTTTATTTGTTAGTACACTACTTTTGAAAATCGTTTTAACAAACTGGTATATGATAGCAGCCAATATTAAAATACCACTCGACAGAAACCTTTGTACAAAATTGCGCAGATAGTAACTAATAACAACTGACACAGTACTGAGGACAAAATGGCTATTATAGAATTAAGAATTTTTTCATCTAATTTTTGGAAAACACAAATGATATTTTATATATTTTTTTTTTATTAGAAAAAAAATATTACTTTTTGATTTGATTCCCAGCCACATAGACTCGTAAAATATTTCGATCATCTCCAACATAAATGAATTTCTGAACCATTTCCAACAAGATCAAATCTGGAGACTTGTTGTCATTACTCGCGTTGTAATTTTGTAACGGATAGTTGCTTGTATCGACAATCAATGCATCAAAGTATTTACCCACAGCGAAATTGCCAGTGATATTACTCAGAGCTAAAGCCTCAGCACCACCAAGTGTTGCCAAAAATATTGCTTGTTTATAGTTAAGAGGCCGATATGCGTGGTCTTGTACCTGCAGGCGTCCGCTTCCCTTAATCTCCTGTTTCTTCACAAATTCCAAATGATGAGAAACATCGAGTGCACGAAGCATGGCATTCTTTATAGACATCGAGTTTCCACCCGAAACATCTGAATAAATATAGTTTACATAATATAATTAAAAGAAAACGTCTACATATAATTAAGCAATTACTACCTGTACCCAAACCGACTTTTATTCCATTTTTAATCAATCGCAGTACGTCACAGAAGCCTGAACTTAACATGGTATTAGAAGCGGGACAATGAGCGACTGAAGTTCCGCGTTTGCCAAAAAGCGTTATTTCCTCATCGTCCAAATGTACAGCATGTGCCATAACTGTCTGCAAGTTTATTTAAGTCTCTATTAGGCTTTGTAAGTGAACTGCATTTTGGTTGAAGTTTTGCATTTCAGTATTACGTCGGCAACTCAATCCAATTAAAAAAGAAAATTTTCGGTTGAAGTATTGTGGCTTTAGGGATAGGAATATCAAAAAAATGCTTGGCAGCAGGTGTAGTTAAAATCCGGTTTATTTGGGAAAAATATTAACAGAAAATTTAAAATAGCTTATTAAACGATTTAAAAAAAATTTTAAACTATTTTAATCATTTTTTTGGTGCTTATATACTTAGGAAAAAAAATAGGTTACAACAAATAGTAAAGAAAAATTCCGGGACTAAATGTTTCAAGGCTCAATTTGGAAGCAGCAAAAATAAAATAAAGAAAATGTGAGAAATTTTGCTCACATAAGCCGTCGATACAATCTAATATTCTAGGGACGCAGTTTTTGAGTAAAATTAAATTTTTTTAAGCGTTTACTCCTCTTCAATAATTTGGATGCGAACAAATAGGGTGTTCCATAATATTTAAAACCTCAAATATAGATATCGTTAAAATCATTTCCACTGCACCCTTGATAACTACCGTCAATAAGGAAAAAAAAAGTTGCGAAAATTAGACATGTCTTTTTTATCATTTTCGTCATTGTAAATTAATCAAATCTAATGTGCATTTCAATATTTATTTTCGTGAGCAATAACTTCATTGAATTGTTTTAAAAATTGTCAGTTGCTTAATTATCTGTTAAGTCTTCACTTGTCTAAGTTGGTAACATAAATTACTTCGGAGAAAGTACATATAATATAAGGTACAATTAGTTGTAGTTCGTAATACTAACGATTTTGGTTGAATTAAAATTGAATTCCTTTAACTTCAATTGTACTGAGTGAAGTTGTAAACCGTAATAGGGGTATCAATACATACGTATGTATGTATATTCATGTGTGTACGTATAAAGTATTAAGTTAAAATTTTTAACTAATTTTATAAATCTTTTCGCCTTACCTTAGGTGTTAGTAAACCAGCATTATCATATGCCTCGGCATAACTGGTATTATAGAGCGACTTGACAAAATCAATTTCCGACAGATTTTCGCTAATATGACTCTAAAAAAGTATATAAATTTTTTATAAACATTAAGATTTTAAATCCACTTCTAACATTCATATACAAATTTTGTTTACTTATTGGTCCAATATTTACCTGTATATGTAAATTATTTTTGTGTGCAATTTCTCCGAGTTTGGTCATTAATTGTTTACTGCAACTCAAAGCAAATCTTGGTGTAATGGTTGGTTCGACCAAATCTGTCTCCAGTTTTTGTATGTCTTTTACGAATTCCTCTGTAGAAGCTATAGACACATCCGTAGTTTCACTGATATTTAAACAGAATTTTAAAATTAAAAAAATGTTATCCTTATTTTTTTGGGTCATACACATAAAATTCCGGGCTATTTTGGTCCGAGCAGACTTTTCCAATCAACGCGCGTTGACCTTGACGCAATGCCTCTTTTGCCAGAATTAAAGTACTCTCTCTGTGGTTGGTACCGAAATAGGATGCAAGTGTAGTGCCCGCCTTTATGGTATTTTCCTTTAGAAGCAAACATTAAAAAATATAATATTAACCAGTAAATAGGTATATACAGATGTATTCACTATTGAATTTGAAATAAATCTCCACCATAAACATTTGCTTATACAAACATTCCTTTTTTCTACATGGGCAACAAAGCTAATTATGACATGGAATAAATACACATAAATTTGAATTTAAAAACTAGTGCTTATGTACTTTCTAATAAACTCACCACAACTTTTGCGTAGGTTTTTTCTGCGAATTTCCTGTCTGCATATTTCGCTTCCAATGGAAATGTATAGGTATTCAGCCAATCCAAAAGAGACATATCTAGACCAAGTCCGATTTGTGCTACTTGAGGTGCGTGAATATGACAATCAACGAAACCAGGCATAAGAAATTGATCCTTGTTCAGTCGTTCGACAGTAACCCCTTTAAAATTGGTGTGCTTCGTTAGCCATTCATCATAATCGAACTCATTTCCAACACCAACAATCTAAAAAAAAATTATATTTAGGAATATCGGTATTAAGTTATCCACAGTAAGATCGAATAATACCCTTTTTCACGTTATTTAAAAAGTGAGCCCTACGAGTATGCTAAATTGAGTATACAAAATATAAACAAATACTTACATATATACATATGTACAGTGGCGAGCAGAATTGAGTGCATGTTTACAAAACTGATTTTCATCACCTATAAAAAAATAACCACACAAACAAATCCAACAATTTTTATACTCTCGCAACCTGTTGCTACAGAGTATAATAGTTTTGTTCACCTAACGGTTGTTTGTATCACCTAAAACTAATCGAGTTAGATATAGGGTTATATATATATAAATGATCAGGATGAAGAGACGAGTTGAAATCCGGGTGACTGTCTGTCCGTCCGTCCGTCCGTCCGTGCAAGCTCTAACTTGAGTAAAAATTGAGATATCTTTATGAAACTTGGTAGACATGTTTCTTGGTACCGTGAGACGGTTGGTATTGCAGATGGGCGTAATCGGACCACTGCCACGCCCACAAAACGCCATTAATCAAAAATAAATAACTTGCCATAACTAAGCTCCGCAATAAGATACAAGACTGTTATTTGGTACACAGGATCACATTAGGGAGGGGCATCTGCAGTTAAAACTTTTTTAAAAAGTGGGCGTGGTCCCGCCTCTAATAGGTTTAATGTGAGATCTGCTCAACCGATTTCAACTAAATTCGGTGCATAACGTTCTTTTCATGTTTCTATGTCATAGTGCGAAAATGGGCGAAATCGGAAACCATTTTCAATTCCATCTGATTCTTTCACTTTCCACTATGCAAATCAGGTAACAATGATTATATCGGGGTAAAACTTTGCGTGAATAATGCAATTAAAGTATGCCACCTTGCGGCCAAAAATTGTCTAAATCGAACCAAAACTGTTCAAACCCCTAAGTACTAACTATGTGGACCCCAGTGCCTATAGTTGACCTTCTACCGAAAATATCAGTCAATCCACAAAGAAATCTCAAACGAGTATACCATATGACTTTGCGAGAGTATAAAATGTTCGGTTACATCCGAACTTAGGCCTTCCTTACTTGTTTTGTATTATTTTTATTATGTAATTCGTAACAAATTCTAGTAAAGAAACAAACCCCAATTGAGGTCGGGACTTTGTGCTGGCCACTTCATCAATTGAAAGTGTTGTTTTCCAACCCATTCCTTTAAAAGTTTTGCTATGTGCTTCGGATCCCCATTTTGTTGAAAAAAATTCTCAATAAAATTGGGAAGGTTGGTTTGCAGATTTTGAAGATAGTCCTCTTTTCGCATGATACCATCTACTAAATGAAGAGGACCAACATGCCACTGTATAAAGCATCCCCAAACCATTATATTTCCACCGCCATATATGACATGATGTCTTTGTATACGTTCGCATCTGAGTCCTTCAATAATTTTTTGCGACCTGCGACTTGCGGCTTGGGAGTCAGATCTCGACTCTTTCGAACTGCGATCTCCGCCGATCGGCTAATACCAAGTCTAATGTAAATATTCCGCGTAGTGCAGCCATTCTCGGTCAGGCTCACAACAGCATTATCCATTTCTTCAGATAATTTTCTCCTTTTTTTTTTAAATATGGAAAAATTATTTCTAATTCGAAGCCAATTCACAAAAACTGCTTTGCTTCGCATGAAACACATTTTAAATTGCACTAAGCCCATCAAATACAAATATAACGGGGAATCTGGCTGAGAAGAGAAGAGATAGGGCGAAAATAATACTTGTAAGTCATAACCCGTGCAAAATTGAGTTTCTTTCGTTTTTTTCTTTCAAAGTATTCGAATTTTTCTCATTTGTCATTGTTTCTTTACTAGAATTTGTTACGAATTGCATAATAAAAACAAGTAAGGAAGTCCTAAGTTCGGATGTAACCGAACATTTTATACTCTCGCAAAGTCAAATAGTATACTCGTTTGAGATTTCTTTGTGGATTGGCTGATATTTTCGGTAGAAGGTCAACTATAGGCACTGGGGTCCACATATTTAGTACTTAGGGGCTTAAACAGTTTTGGTTCGATTTAGACAATTTTTGGCCACAAGGTGGCATACTTTAATCGCATTATTCACGCAAAGTTTTATCCCGATACAGTCATTGTTGCCTGATTTGCATAGTGGAAAGTGAAACAATCAGATGGAATTTAAAATGGTGTTATGTGGAAAGTAGGCGTGGTTGTAGTCCGATTTCGCCCATTTTTGCACTGTGACATAGAAACATGAAAAGAACGTTATGCACCGAATTTGGTTGAAATCGGTTAAGCAGATCTCAAGATATGGGTTTTCACCTAAAAGTGGGCTGTGCCACGCCCACTGTCTAATTTTGAACGCGGTTCCTTTAAAGTCATCTCATACCATCCCAGAGATAAAATTTAATGACTCTGGCGTGTTTAGTGCTTGATTTATCGCGCTTTTAGTAGTTTTTAACAGTACCGTTATATGGAGAGTGGGCGGAGTTGCTACCCGATTTCAACTATTTTCACACCGTCAATAGAAGTGCTAAAAATATTTGCTTCCAGTGAATTTTGTTATTATAGCATTAGCGGTTTAGGAGATATGCACATTAAACCTATTAGAGGCAGGACCACGCCCACTTTTTTAAAAAAAATTTTAACTGCAGATGCCCCTCCCTAATGTGATCCTGTGTACCAAATAACAGTCTTGTATCTTATTGCGGAGCTTAGTTATGGCAAGTTATTTGTTTTTGATTAATGGCGTTTTGTGGGCGTGGCAGTGGTCCGATTACGCCCATCTGCAATACCAACCGTCTCACGGTACCATGAAACATGTCTACCAAGTTTCATAAAGATATCTCAATTTTTACTCAAGTTAGAGCTTGCACGGACGGACGGACAGACGGACAGACGGACGGACAGACGGACGCACGGACAGACAGTCACCCGGATTTCAACTCGTCTCTTCATCCTGATCATTTATATATATATAACCCTATATCTAACTCGATTAGTTTTAGGTGATACAAACAACCGTTAGGTGAACAAAACTATTATACTCTGTAGCAACAGGTTGCGAGAGTATAATAATACTAAAAAATTTTGGATTTGCTTGTGTGGTTATGTTTTTATGGGTGATGAAAGTCAGTTTTGTAAACTTGCACTCATTTTGCTCACCACTGTATGTACATGCATATGAATGCATAATGACAATTGAATTTGTACCACATTACTTTGCCTCTCTGATCAACAGCAATAAATCCACTTGTAAAGATCTCGAACTCATTCAAAGACTTAGTATTTATTATTCGTCCAAGGAAAACCTTTTCCATTTTTCCAACTATAAAAGACGTAAGCACCTTTCAATATAACTTTAACACTTTTGAAAAAGCTCTTAATACCTCCACGTTACTTTCGTATCGGCTAGTAACTTCTCACTGTTTATAAGTTCACAAACAAGCTACCTAATTGTAAGTTTACTTACTAAAATATACACATCCATATGTACATACTAAATTTTTTAAAAGATAAGATATGTGTGTGTACGTGTATATTTTAATGAAATTAAAATTTTTAAGTTGTCACTTTAGTAATATGATGATTTTATATATTTCCGCAAATAACTATTTATGGTATATTTATTTTATTGTTTCATTTCCAACCTATCTATTTATTGTGGAAAAAATAAGTTTTTCGCAGCTTGCTTTCCTACGAAATATTTTATTAAAAAATAAGAGTATTTTATTCCAACTGTCTTATGGTACTTTTTCCAAATTCATACACTATTCTATTATTTGCGTGCGTCAGGGAATGTCATTCTCTGGCCATCTACGACAAGAATCAGAGATAAACAAACATGATAAAACAGCTGTTTTCCTTTATATTTCTTTGTTAATGCAATTAGTTATTTTAACTTATGAACAAAATACAATTAGATATATTATATTATAGAATGAGTGTTACAAACGTTGATATTTTTTGTCCTCTATGTGAGACTGAAATCAGAGGCAATATAAATCGACTGGTGATTGATAGTTGTGGGCATAGTAAGTGTCGCCGTTGTCTCCTTGCTGATGATGAATGCTCAGAATGCTCGAAGCCGAAACAATGTAATACCGAAAATAATTCGGGGCAAGGCGTAGACGTTGGTGCAATCGTTGCAAATGAAGCAACACTCGAAACGGATCTTGCGACAAAAAGCACTAAGAAGAAAGGTAGAAAAGTGGCTTCTATTCCATCACATATTCAACGATTACACAGTGATTTGGACTCCGGTGTGCGGTATTACTGTACACCTTGTGGGAAAAAATTTGGAAGTCGATCACAACAATACTATCATTTGACATGTGGTAGCGATGCTTCTAAGAAATATAAGTGCCAGCAATGTGACAAGGTACGTATTAATTAAAACTTTTTATGTATTGTAAATTACTTTGTTCTATACTCAGACGTTTTCTACAAAATCCCATTTCAAATATCACTTGGAGACACATGAGGGGCGTGTATATTATTGCGGAGAGTGTAATAAATCATTCGCAAATCGAATAGTTCTGCAGAAGCATGAAAGGCTTCATCGTGCTTCTTCGATTCAGTGCAAAGAATGTAATAAATCATTTCGTAACAAGGAATCTTTATCGGGTCATATTCGGCAACTCCACGATGATAACAAGTTACCTTATACTTGTGAAGTCTGCCAGAAAAGCTATGTTTTGAAATCTACTTTAAAGCTACACATGCAAAAACACTTTGGTGAGTGGTTAGCATTTCGACGAAAATATTAATTAAAAATAATCTTTCTTTTCAGATAAGAAGTATGCATGTCAATACTGTGATAAACGTTTCCAACGTAACTATACACTTAAATTACATCTTAAAAAACATACAAAGACTGATTGTTATATTTGCGGTATTTGCTTAAGGAAATTCAGTGACAATGCAGTTTTGTTGCGGCATGTTAAACTACATCAAGGTTAGTATATGTTTTAACTGTACACCCAACTAACATCAGATTTAATTTGTAGATGTCGTTAAGTTCCAATGTCGAGATTGTGAAGCTACCATCATACGCAAGGATAACATGTTGCGACACATTCGCACTATACATCCAAATAGAACATTTGACAACTGTGTTGAAATAATATACCCTAATCACACCAAAACACTAGGAGCAATTGAATCTGAAAACCATATAGAAGGTTCATCACCAATTAGGGAACCAAAGACTGTAGAGAATAGTGCTGTTATCAAATGCATAGGGAATGTTCAGCCAATGAAAGTCCCAACTAACCACGTTTCCACTATACTCACCACTAATATTCAAAAACCGGCTACCGAAACTACCATTGCAACCAAGACCTCGAACAATGATTCTACAGTTATCCTACTTCCGAATGTACAAATAAATGCAAGTATTCTGACTGGTGGAAGTTCTACAGTTATTCAGAAAAAAATTAAAAAGTACGACCCGATAAAAATGTATCGAAAGATTTTGACTTCAGATCGAGATGAAAGTGCCACCGAAAGTGAAAGTGAAAAAGAAGAAGTGTATAGCATAAAACCGCACTATTCTGATAATACTGTTTCCTGTGTGAGCTTAGCAACTCCTGAAAAACAAATATCGATTAACACTTCGAATTTCAGTGAAACTCATTGGCGTAAAAACTTTAGATATACCTACCAATATCAAGACTTTTAACTACAATTTTTATAATTAAGTACACACTGAAATAATTGTACACATGTGCGTTTCAACTATTTTTAATACACTAACCGTAATATATTTTTAAAAATTTATTAAAACGTTCGTATTTTTGTTGTTATAGTGGTAGAAAACATTCTTAAGTAATTTGAAGGAATGCTGCCGAGTTGACAGTCCTTCGCCGGATAAATATCCGGGTCTGGTCCGGTTACGTAGACCCTACTGTAGTGGGTTTGTCTTTACATTCGATTGCGAGAAGAAACGAATTAAAAGAAAAAATTAATCAAGTTCAGTAAGTTAGAATCAGCAAATCACATTCAACTTAATATACCTTACAATATCGATGAGCGAAAAATAGTTTGGCCCAATGCCATCTGCTTGATGTATTCTTTGACATACTAGTATGTTAAAAATGAAGGCACACGAATCAACTAAAATTTAGCATTGGCAGTGAATAAGGTCATGTGATATTTCCTACATTGTTATATTGTTAATTTTTTTTAAACGTTTCTCTCTTCAAATGGTATTTGGGTTTGTTCTCATGCCTTTAAAATAAAGAGAACTTTCATAAATCAGATGTATATTAACGATGTCGAACACCACACCTAAAAGTACACAATACGCGTTCACGTCTAATTACTTTGACGATATTTTAATACATAATTGGCGGGAACTCCTCGCAATAGGTAATTTACTTGAAGTAAATAAACGTCGTAGCTTAATGTGGATTTGGCCAACAGAAAGTGAATTACTTAATATTGGAGCATTATTTGAGACATTCAATATAAAGCATATACTTAGCATAGGATGTGGCAATGGATTATTTGAGAGAATAATACAAGACTGTCTGGGTATGTAAGTGATATTTGTGTATGGTATATAAATATACACAAATATAAAGTGGAAAATTTAACTGAAAAAATGTACATTCCATTACATTTTTTTATTAAATAGGTGTAGCTCTTAATGGTATTGAAGTCGATCGATCGTGGTGGGAAAGTAAATATGCAATTAAAAGTTTTATTAACATTAATTATATTGACGACTGTAAGAAAGGAGAAAATCTAGAAAAGTATCTTCAAAAGTGTTGTAACTTGGAAAATTGGAATTTCTCATTGATGTTTTGTTATTTTAACAACCGCGCAGCATTCCTTAATTATATTGAAATGTATAAAGGGAATATACTTTTAATTATTGGACCGAAAACTGGGGTTAATGTGTTCACTGAACCATTGCCGCTTGAACCACGTTTACCTGAAGGACATCGTTGGAAATTAAAAGCTACCTTAAACATTGGAAAACTTGATGTAATAGCTTTTTATACAAAAGATGTGTGATGATAAATTAATTTACTTTAATAAAATACAATTTTAATGAAGTAAACAAATTTATTTTTATATTTAAATTTTCTAGTTTCTATTGATCTCAATGTGAAATTTACAAGCTGGAATTGTTTGCACTTCAGCAGTGACTGTACTGTTTATACCCAAATTCGTTAATGCCCCTCGCACCAGGCCACAAGTGAAAAATACAAACTGGAAAATAAGTGAAAGCAATTTTGTTTAGTAATAAAATTTGAAATAATTGCATATATTTATACCTTTGGGGCATATTCCAATTGCTTTGTACCTGTCGATATTCGTGTAAGGAAACGAAATGCTCTATCTTGTACCACGTACATTCCGTGATTGTTAGTACGTAAATTATCAACCTGTTTCTTATAGATTAGTGTCCAAAAATCAGTACATATAAATTTCATTGTCTCCAACTCATCTTTAAATCGTGGTACATCCCGCGTTAAACGTTCTATAAGGCGATATCCAGTGTTGAATCCAATATATTCTAACGATGAAAAGTCATTCTCCTATGGAAGGAAAGTTAGTCTATAAGATATTATGATATTTTATAGTTAGTAGCATAAATGTCTTACTTTGTTATTATTATTTAGGCAATAGTTAACAATTTCCGAGTGCAGAAAATCAAACAGAATGTCTTCTGACATTTTAAAAATATTGGTGAAATTTGCTTAGATTTATTTTATATCTTGAAAAATATAAACAATTTGAAAACAGCTGACAATGTGGCGTGTTTCATTAGCATTATTTTTTAAGGCTACCAACAGTTAATAATTAGAAAGAGTCAAGTCGTCTATATAATATAAGCATTGATTTATACAATGTATAAAAGTTATAACTGATATTTTGTGATTTCAATCAAATGTTATGAAACGTATTTTTTTTATTAATACAGTACTTTCATCATTTTATTAGCTCTTGAAAATGCCAATGAAATTAGTTTAAAAACAATTTTCTTTTAAATTATTATAGGTATAACGCACGACCAGAAGTTGAAGAATTTTAATAACGTGGCAAAAATATCAACCAGCTGTAGTCGACTTATTGTTTCATTTCATCCCCAATTGGTGTACATACATAAATATTTACTGGTAGTTGTAAGATGTTTAAGCGAAAATCTTAAATTGTTTAAATCATATCAAGTATTCTATAAATTAAATGTCCAAATTTGAATAGAAAATATGTTTCACAAAAATGAACTATTGATATAACTCCTCTATGGTATACTATTAAAAAAATTATTACAAAATGGAGAAATGTAAAACGCCAACAGAACAAAATTTGCTGGGATTTGACAGTGATGAAAAGGATTACATGGCTAGACGTCTTCTTTTCCAATGTGTTCTAATTCTTTTATGTTTGGCCAGTTATTCACACGCACTCAATGGTAGTTTCGTTTTCGATGACACCGTAGCTATCGTAAAAAACGTTGATGTGACAAATGATCCAACTAATTGGACTGCAATATTTAAAAATGATTTTTGGGGCACCTCGCTACTCAGCCCAGAATCGCACAAGTCTTACCGCCCATTAACTACATTGATATTTCATTTGGAGTATAGTAACTTTGGATTCCGCGCCAAACATATGAAAGCTATTAATTTATTATTACATTGTATAAATACTCTCCTGGTGTGGCAACTTTTCCGTAAGCTCCGATTTGAAACAACACATTATAACCAAGTAGCCGCAGTAGCAGCAACAATTTTCGCAATGCATCCGGTTCACACAGAAGCAGTTTGTGGAGTGGTTGGCCGAGCTGAACTGATATTCTGTACATTATATTTAGTAGCTCTTTTGCTTACATATCAGAGAGCGTGTTTAGGTGCTTGTACCGATGTATTGATTATTTTACTGACTGCAATTGGTATATTCTTTAAGGAGACAGCTATAACTATTCCAAGTGCATGCATATTTCTTGAATTAGCAAAGTCACAGGTTTTTATTCACCCTTGGCAAGCACAATTGAAATTCATATGTTCATTTCGTAATGCTGTATATGCAATTGCTACTGTTACAATAATAATATTTCGTTTGTGGCTACAAGATTTTCAGATCCCTCATTTTAAACCAATGGATAATCCTATTGCACTTAGTGATGATCTTTTAACTCGCATACTTTCTCAGAATTATTTATACGCCATTAACTGGTGGATTTTTTTATGTCCACAATGGCTAAGTTTTGACTGGGCTTTGGGATGCATTAGATTAATTACAGACGTCTGGGACTTGCGATTGCAGGCAGTTTTGGCTATGTATTCCCTGGCAATGGTTGCCATTATCAATAGCAGACAAAATTTCGCACCCGTATTTGGACTGGGACTAATGGTGATACCTTTTCTGCCGGCTTCAGGAGTTATTAAAGTTGGGTTTGTTATAGCTGAACGTGTGCTTTATGTACCATCTATTGGCTTTTGTTTCTTAGTTGCACAAGCTTTATCATATGTTTATAATAGCAATCCGAAACCATGGTTGCTACACATATATAAGTGGACACTGATGTTATGTTTCATCTGTCTACTGCTACGAACACGAGAACGAGCTAGACAGTGGTTATCTGAAGATAGCCTATTTACTTCGGCATTAAAGGTCTGCCCCAATAACGCTAAGGTATCAACGATGCAACTCATATATATAAATATTTTGAAAGCATTACAAATTTCAGGTACATTATAATATAGCTCGTTTGGCGACGGATAGGTTGGATCGTGACAAAGCGCTCACACATTACCATAAGGCAATCAGCCTCTACCCACAATATGAATCAGCACTTATGAATTTGGGAAACTTATATCGTGAAATGGGTGAGCTAGTCGATGCCGAAAAATACATTAAAGAAGCTTTGGAAGTGGTACCGGATTTCGCTACTGCTTGGATGAATTTGGGAATTGTTCAGGCAGCACGGAAAGATTATAAAAATGCATTACTAAGTTATAAAAATGCATTAAAATATCGGAAAAACTATGCTATATGTCATTACAACTTGGGCAATCTTTATCTTGATCTGAAAATGCATAGTGAAGCGATGCAGCATTGGCAAGAGGCAGTCACTTTGAATCCCCGTCAGCCCAAAGCGTGGGCTAACATACTCACAATGCTAGATAACCGAGGGCTCTACGAAGATGCTATACGACTTTCAGCACAGGCGTTAAAGCATCTTCCAAATGAAACAAATATTATGTTCATACGGGCTAACGTTTTCGGAAAATTAAAGCACTACGTGGAAGCTGAAGAGCTTTACAAGCATATTATAGAGGTTGAACCATTAAATGTATTATTTCATACGAATTTAGGCGTTCTGTATCATCGTTGGGAGAAACTCAATCAAGCCATAGAGAGTTATCAAAATGCATTGAAATTAAATACAGAAAAAGCGATAACTGCTCGTGAAAATCTTAGCAAGCTATTAAAGAGAAAACGAAAAGAAAAATTAGGTAAAATCGTGTTGTAAACGTTATTTTAGGTTCTTCAATTGAAATTAAAATTCATATGGAGATTAACAAGTGTAGTCTTATTTCATTATTAATATAAAACATTTATAATTCAAAAATGGGCTATGGACAACAGTCTGCTTGCTTCGGAATCCAATGCATACTTATATATAGAATATTAAGAATATGCAAGTGCAATATGTAAATTCCAAATCAATTCTTATTTTTAGAAAGGAAACGATACAGAAAAAACTTCTCAACCGAACTTAGCGTGTATGCTGCTAAAAAGTATTGTACTTAATAATTATGATGAGAATTTAAAAACGAGAAAATGTGATGTGTATGTATGTGCGTCAATATTCGTTTCTGATTTAAACGTAGATTCATTAATTAAGCAGTTGCACCTACGGTCTTTAAGTTAGTAAAAAATCAAGAGGAACAATTTAGGGGCTTATTAGACCGAATTAAATACTTAAGTAAGCATCTTAGAGTATACTTATATAAACTATTTAAATAGGAAAACACTGGCACAAATGTGCAAGAAATTATTTCTAAATTTCTACAGTATTTTTTTCTAATTTGAGTTTTTGCTTTTGACGTACCAGCAATAAACATTCTACAAATATAAAGGTCCGTTCCGGTTACGTAGGTTTCCCTTTTTATATAAATTAAAATTAATATACAAATTAAAAAGTGTTTTATAAACACATTGGTGCGATGTAAAATTTTAGATATGAAAACAAACCAACTAGTATGCTAGTAATTAGATTAGTTATTTATTTATTTATCACTTATATATAAGTATATATGTATGTATGTACATTAATAAATGTGTCAGTATTTTTAATCTAATAAATCATATTTGTTTTATCCTTAATTAACAAATACAGCACCACAACGCAAATAAATACCCTAAATGAATTCATAATACATACAAGAAATAAAAACGCATTTACTTTTGAATTTAATTTTTTCTTTCGGTAGTATTTAAGTTAACTTGGATAATAAATAATATTTTATTTTAAATTTAATATATGTGAGATTGGTTTAATGAATATACATTTCAAACAAGTGTTATTTACAAAAAGTGTAGCGTTTCAAAGCTCATAAAAAATGGACAAAAAAATAAATACAAAACACATGGAATTATATTTTACGTTCATCGAAACACACCATATACGTAAATAAAATGTAATAAATATTTGAATCATAACAAGAAGTTAATATTAATGCAAAACATTTTTATCGCAAGCAATAACTCATAATTATGGTTACATATGCAATTTCAATTCATTGTTTGGCAAACTTCTTGGCAATCATATTAATCTACAATTTGAATGGAAATATAAAGCTTATGAAATGAGTTTCAGTTAAAATGCGCAGACAGGTAACACTGTAACTATGTATAAAATATTTATCCAAAAAGGAGTTACTAAATATGCAAGAATTAAGTAAGTCTTAATGTTTAAGATACGTTTAGGATGCACTCTTTTAGAATAAATCCAACTGATGCAAAGGATAGGACACTATTCGTTGCTTTAGATTATAGTAAATGTAAAATTAGTTCTGAATAAACAGTGAGAGTTTGACATTTTTGTACAATCACATTATGCAGGCGCTTGACTTACAAATTTAAATGAATGAAAGGCTGCATTAAAATGTATGTGTTTATAACAAAAAGAAAATTAGATATTAAATGAAAATGAGATGAATAGCTATGGATTTCACTTAACCAAAATAGAAACGCTGAATTATTCGAAAAAATATTTAAAGTAATACAAATTCTTCAGTTTCTTCGTCATCATCTTCTTGCGCATTAATATATGGCATTCTATTCCTTTGTTGATCAAACTCCTGCTTCATTTGAGTTACTTGTTGCTGCAATGGTTTGTAGGGAGAATCATTGATTGCATACCATTCTTCTTCAGGACACTGTCCACGTGAGAATGTGAAAAGTGGATAGTTCATTTCAGAATATTGAGACCCTTCACTGTGTCCACCAGTATTTGATGAAGATGTAAATTTATCTATTGCTCCGGAGGTACAACGCATCGGATGTAGGTACTAAAGAAATATATATTATTGAAAAGAAAGGATGTATAATAAAGTAAAAAACTCATAATTTAAATTAACAAACTAAACTTACTAACTGCACACTTTCCATAAAATTGTCAAAATCAATTTTCGTGGAACAGTAAAATCCGATACAACAACTTGGATCCATTTTAGAAGTCCTCAATTTTCGAGGTGATTTACAGTGAAAAGATTGTAATGAGAAATTATCCTGATTAACGTCGACCATTTCTTGGCAATAATGAGGATCCAAATGTATAAGTTTATCTTCTAAAAATTAAGTACCGTAAATTATGAACAACTAAGAAAACATATTCGCTATACTAATGTGATAATATTACCTTGAAACCCAACAAAATATAATGAATGTTTTGGCCGCCCGCCTATAATACCAATGCAATATTCTGTACTCAGTAATAGTTTCAAGCAGTGCGCGTAGACGGGATTAAGCTTTTCCGTTCCCAGACGAAGTGGTATTAATAGAATTAACGATTTCCATTGTTGTTTTAGTGATTTTGGCAATTCAGCACGCCGTGTTGTTTGCCAGGGCACATGCTTTTGAGGGGACGGCTCTCGTATTCGACATTCCTTTTCCACATCTTGCATATAAACTACAAGTAACAATGCATTCGATTTTTAGTTGGTATTATAATATTTTTAACAAAGTTTTTTTGTTAGGCTTACTACAATATGATAATGCTTTGTTTCGATCTCTTATGTAGTAGTTATATGCTTATGGCATAGTCTTAAAAGTTCAATCCAAAAAATATTTGTAATTGAGAAATTTAACTAATAAGATGTCAATAACTCACTTGTACAATCCTTAGCTACATAAATTGCTATATTATCGAAGTCAGCATTTTCTTGGGCCGCTGTGTTTAGAGCTTGTCTGCAAATTATTACAATGCATTATAAGCATAATTTTGCTTCAAACATCAATAGTTACTTTAAAAGATATGAAACGGATGCTGGTCCGTACCAATCGCCTGGTCTTTTTCCCATTTCTTCACCCAAGCTAACGAGCGCATGTATCGAGAAGGGACTGCTCTTTGAAGAACTATCGCCAAACCACTTAATAATTTTTTTATGGATATTGTCTTCAAATGTAGAATGCAACTGCGTTTCGGCATCGTAACGCCAACCTTTAAAATACAATTATATGGAGTACTGAGTGTTGTTTTGAAAAAAAAAAGAGTTTGCTTACTTCTTCCTAAGAAATGGCAAACCAGCCCTTGTGCCAGCAGCATTTGTCCGCTGCGCAGCATGCAACCCCACCCGCAATCGGATGTGTAATTAGATCCATTCATTGTCGGGAATTCCCGACGGTAAGTCATCCAAATACGACTATAAAAATCACGACGGAAACCCTCTATACCCTCCTCCCATGGATGGTCGACTACTTGATTCTCTACCGCGTCCATACCTAATTCTTGTGGGACTACTATTTCATCTACTTGGTGTGCATTGAGTGGCGGATAAATATTGGTAATGGGGACAGCGCTGTTATCAGTCAAATATTGCTCCGACGTTTCGTAAGAGCTACTATTTATTGACGTTGAAATTACCCCACCAGAGTTTGTAGTGAGTTCAGTAGAGCTCTCCATGGATGATGGTGGAGTATATTTGCGGTGATAACATCGCCCCAGAAGCCACACTGGCTGCTCTTTAGAGAAATTTGGTTTGATTTTTCCGCTCCAACCATATTTAACGTTATGCCACATTGTCAAAAGCTTTGATTCCATACCCTTATGGGGTGTACGGCTGACTGCAGGCATTCCGTTTGTAGAATTCGCACCAATATCGAATTCGTCTGCGTCAGTCGATGTGCTTGTAGCAGTTGCGGTCGAATATAATTGCTGGAACGCATTCATAAATCGTGATGATGCAGAAATTTTCCGTAGCGGAGTTGATATATCCGCGTTCAATACGTCCGCTGATGTGTTAAAAGGCGCTGTTGTTTCAGTAGCTGCTGCGGTCGATGCACTTAAATTTCCTATAAAAGTTGCATTGTTACTCTCACTACTGACTGAAGGCAACTGAATGGTTTGTATTGTTGCAGCTTGCTCTTCTTCTTCAACTGTAACATCGACCAGTGCAGGTACTACAACACTGTCCGCCCCGTTGGATGATGCAGTTTTGACGCTTGTTTTACCCGTATTTAGCGAAGGTGGAGTCGTACTCCCCTGAATGAGATTTAACTTCTCATCTGTCAACTGCGAAAGTGATAGTAATCCATCGTAGCTCATCTGTAAATGAACAATATCATTACATGGTTTTGTACATAAGAATATTTACTTCACCGATAACGTAAAATTCTCGAATTTTTATGACTAATGACTGACTAAGTTAAGGTCCCAAAGACACTTGTTAATTAGAACTCATCAATTATATACAGATATGAAGCAATTCACATATGCACTTACCATTTGTCGTTCCTTCTTATCTTTAATGTAGAGTACCAGGCCTGCTTCGTCTCTACTCCACGATTAACTTTTATTTTTTGTTATTGACACCTACCTCGATTTTTAGATAAGATATTTGAGTGATAAGAATACTATAAATATTTATTTGCAGTTTTTACTAATTTGTGCCCAAATTGATTTGCGAATGCTTATGCGAATGGAGAACGTTTTGACTGAATTTGAGTACAATTTAAAGTGAAAACACATTTTCTCTCATTTTTTCTATTCTCCTAATACAGTGCATATTTTCGAAAATTTTGCAAACAAAAATTGATTTACTAAATGAAGCACCCTAATTCTTCAGCTTTGTTCGATTTAAGTTCACATTCTTCAGACAAACTAATTGGATTGTTTGAAAACCATTAACATCCGTTGAAATGTTTAGTTTTTTTCAGTAAGAATAGTTAATTGAATAATATAAAACTCTTTATTGTAAGTTAGATTTTCCAAAGTGTATATTTTAAGACAATAAAAAGTGACAAATTACAAGACCCTTATTATAATGTTTGAAGTGGTTCTTTTACAATAATATTCTCCATAATGAAAATTTTAAATATTTCTATTAGGGTTTCTATGAGTATTTATTATTATTATCTGCCCTTCATATCTACAAAGGTGTTTTATCAAAAATATGACTTGAAGATCTATTTTTTCGTCTCAATATTCAAAGTTAGCGATATGGCTATCGGTCTACATATGTACTTCTTTGAATAGTTATCGAATTCCAATATATTGATACGCATAAATGTTATTTACAAAGTTAGAAACTGCACACTGCATTTTTATTTTCTACAGCAAATTCTGTTCCCACATTCGCAGTCTCAGCTGTTATTGTTTTGTTTGACGTTTATACTAAGGTCTTTGTTTATACGCCCTTTACTTCTTCCGTCGTTTTGCATTCAATCTGTTTTGTTTACAATCAATTCTCTATAAGTCGTTTGGTCGCTTGTCAACAACTGAGCGCATGGTTACATATTCCACAACAACAAATTTGGATGAAAGTAACGTTGCCACTATTCTATTTCAATTTAACACAATTTGTGTCTTTACGTATAAGGTGGCAATGGAAAACAGAAGGGACAAAAAATCAATATTGTGCGAAAATTAGTGAAAATGACAACAATTTTTAGAGGTTTTCATGGAAATTGTGCTTTATTGGTAATTTTATTAATAATTTTTCTTCAGAATGCATGTAAGTAATGTATGTAAAAACTAAATGGCAAATTAGTAACGAAATAATTCCACAGCAACACTACATAGAACTTTGCGACATTATGAAGTACTTCGCAGTGAAGACTGTAGACACAAAATTATTAAGCGCGGAATTAAACAGAGCTCACACCCGTATAACGTGATCAAGGAGGTAGAGTTTAAGACTTTGGGTAAAAATTTTCGACTTATATTACACCCGCACCGTGAGGTATTACATAGCAAATTTAAAGCATACAATGTAGACGGCGACGGTAACAAGACAGTGGTGCATTTAGGTACACACACTTTTATAAGCATATACTTTTGTAATCTGGTTTTATTATTTTACTACAGATCATGATAGCTTTTTTACGGGACGAGTATTTGGTGAATTAGAATCATCCGTAAGAGCGCAAATAGATGATGGCTTAATGACAATGTCCATACATCTGCCGGACGAAACATATCACATTGAGCCATCGTGGAGACACTTGCCACGTTCGGCAGAGAAGACGATGGTAGCTTATAAAGTTTCTGATGTGAAGTTAAATTGGAATAAGCATGGGAATGGTCCTCCTGGCGGACAAATGCCATGTGGATATGTTAAAGAAGGTTTAGGTAGATGATAAAATATTATATCGTATTTTGAAAACTATATAAATCTCATACACAGATTTGGAAACCAATGATGGGACAGATGAAGATATGGATGGCGATTATAAGCAAACACATATGTTAAATAGCGATGATATTTCGAAATCTCGTAAAAAGCGACAGGCTGATCAGTATGAATACACACCTACAAAAACTCGTTGCCCACTTTTGCTTGTGGCCGATTATCGTTTTTTTCAAGAGATGGGAGGAGGAAATACAAAAACCACAATAAATTACTTGGTACAGCTAATGAAAACCTAAAGCTTTAATAAAATAACAAATATTAATTTTATCTGTAGATAAGTCTGATAGATCGGGTGCACAAAATATACAACGATACTGTATGGCAGGATCGAACGGTAAGTAAACAAATATTTAAACTTAGTTGTTCACTATTAGATTATATTTTTTAAGGATCAGGAAGGCTTTAAGGGTATGGGGTTTGTGATAAAGAAAATAGTTGTGCATTCTGAACCGACGCGGCTGCGAGGCGGAGAAGCCCATTACAATATGATTCGTGAAAAGTGGGATGTGCGCAATCTACTAGAGGTAAATATGGCTAAATCTATTAATATGTAGGTTTTGGCTAATTTAAGGCCTTATTGAGGTTACCGTTGTACATTTATGCTCTCTCTCTGCTTTTTCTTCTCATCTCCTTATATTACGATATTTGTATTTGGTGTAGGTGTTTTCAAGAGAATATAGCCATAAAGATTTTTGTTTAGCACATCTTTTTACTGATCTAAAATTCGAAGGTGGTATTCTGGGCTTGGCTTATGTGGGTTCTCCTCGGCGTAATTCCGTTGGTGGAATTTGTACACCAGGTTACTAAAATGAAAATAAGCGAGTTGTAAAATATCAGTTGAAAACATTATTTTTTTTCCCCTTTATTTAAATATATAAGCCGATCCAACTTACTTGTTTATTCAAATTATAGACATTGTTATTTGCTACCCCATTATATTTTGTTTACATATAATTATGAACATGTTTACTTCTGTTAGTGTTTCTTTTTCTCGTTCGTTTTAAAAACTATATTTTTTTATACTAGTATGTTGTTACTTTAAAACGATTTTTATATGTTACTTAATAGAATATTTCAAAAATGGCTACACCCTGTACTTAAACTCGGGATTAAGTAGCTCTCGAAATCACTATGGACAGCGAGTTATAACACGTGAAGCCGATTTAGTGACAGCACATGAGTTTGGCCATAATTGGGGGTCTGAGCACGATCCAGATATACCAGAATGCTCACCAAGTGCCTCACAAGGTGGAAGTTTTCTCATGTATACATATTCTGTCAGCGGATATGATGTTAATAATAAGGTAATCGTTTTTATTAACTCAATTGAACATATACACATGTACGTATATATAGAAATTCTCGCCGTGCTCTCTGCGTTCGATACGCAAAGTTTTGCAAGCAAAATCGGGGCGTTGTTTCTCGGAACCCGAAGAATCATTCTGCGGTAACTTGCGAGTTGAAGGCGATGAACAGTGTGACGCCGGTTTGCTTGGTACCGAAGACAATGACGCTTGCTGTGATAAGAACTGCAAATTGCGTCGGAACCAGGGTGCAATGTGTAGCGATAAAAATTCGCCTTGCTGCCAAAACTGCCAATTCATGCCGGCTGGAATGAACTGTCGGGACGCCCAGTATGCCACCTGTGAGCAGGAGGCACGCTGTTCGGGCACTCATGCCGAATGTCCGAAATCTCCGCCAATGGCCGACGGAACAATATGTCAAGAGCGAGGCCAATGCAGAAACGGTAAATGCATACCATATTGTGAGACTCAGGGTTTGCAGAGCTGTATGTGCGACATTATACAAGATGCTTGCAAACGGTAATTTTATAAATTGAGAAATTTGTATATTTACTTATTCCTAATATTGTGTCATATACTCGCAGTTGCTGCCGCATGAGCATAAACGAAACCTGCTTTCCAGTGGAGCCTGCCGATATGTTACCCGATGGCACTCCTTGCATACAAGGATTCTGCAACAAGGTAAATTGCCAATACATTTATATGCTTTTGAACAAAACAGATCTATTACATATAAATCTGGGTGTTTACTTTTAGGGTGTGTGTGAAAAAACGATTCAAGATGTTGTAGAACGCTTTTGGGATATTATCGAAGAGATAAATATCAATCGCGTTTTACGTTTTTTAAAAGACAATATTGTCAGTAAGTATAATGCTGAATTTAAAAAGACTTTTGTATTTTATGCCCTCTCAATTACACTTTCAGTGGCTGTCGTAGTTATCACTTCAATATTTTGGATTCCCGTCAGCTGTGTAATTTCATACTTTGACCGTAAAAAACTGCGCCACGAAATGAAACAGTTGGAATGGAGTACTAAACTGGATTTAATTCATCCTAGCGATCGCCGGCGAGTTATACACATCAGGTGCGTGTGCGCGCGCGCGGGTGCACCCCGGTCAGCATGCAAAAGCAATTAACACATGTATATAAATTCTTACCTTTCCCCCTTTAAGACACTAACATTCAATATGTAAAATTGTTTTATTATCGATTACAGAGTGCCGCGTCAAAAAATATCTGTGTCGCGAATGTAACATGTCGGGAAATAAGTGAAGCGGATAAACGGGTGCATACCAATTACTTAATTTATATACAGGGGATCAGATGAAACGCACACAGCTTTTTCAAATATGTACATGCCAAAATCATATGTATATTTATGCAGCCGTGACTTAAAGTATTTCGACTCTGGATAGCGTTTAACCATTTATTGCATCCTATTTATACTATAATATACCATCATGTCTAGCCTTTGGTCAATCAGTTGTTAAAAATTTATTTCATTTCTGTAATGCTCTCGAAATAGTAATAAAAAAAACGGTAGCAAAATTGCCTTAACTTTTACAATCCTGCCGCGAAATCATGTAGTGAAAACTTCGGAGTATAAACACTTTTAGTCAAGGATGCTTTTTGTAAATACACATGTAATTGTACATACTCATATGCTGTATGTATACACACACAATCAAATTTTGTAAATCATGTTCAACAATAATGAAAATGTATTTCTTTTACACTCAATGTTTTTTTATAATTTATACACCATTACTTTCGTGGCTTAATGTTTTATTTAGCTTAGTTAGGAGTTGGTAACAAACCATGAAAAACTTTGTCTCCAACACATGAAAATAGTTAATAGTGATTATTAAATGAAAACAACGTAGATGGTTTTCATTTGGAAAAGTCTCTTATTATTAAAGTTAATATATTACTATAAGAGAAAATAAATGGAAGTTGTACAGTAAAATTGAAATTACTTTTTCTAATATAAAAGTTACTGTAGTATTAAAAATTTGTTTCCTTATTGTATTAGAAATTAATTTTAACTGTTTTCACCATTTCATAGTACATTAATACATTTTCCTTTTAATTAATTTAAAGGTAGCAAACTGTTGACATACGGTCAATATTCTTATCTTAAACGTACAAAAATATGTTTCTATTACAATCCTTTTACGTAATAAACTTAACTTGGGTATAACCATTAATTTCGTCCAGCTTAATGTAAATTACATTCATTTTCTTTTATGACCATTTTTTCCATTAGTTTGTGGTGGCGGTGACGCTTCTCCATCGTATTCATCATCATCATCATCATCAATTTCTTCATTTTCAGACCAAGGGGCTTCACCATACTCCTCGACAGAGTTTTGACCGTACAAATTCTGACCATATAAATTTTGACCATACATATGAACGGGCCCTGTCCCTTGAATTAGCTTAAATGTCACTGAAGTATTCAGGAATTCTACATTGGGACGTAAAACGCGTGTTTCTCCAGCTTTAAGCACCGCAATTGGTATTTTTAAGGTCTCTTTTTGATTAATTCTTGTTTCAACCTAAAAATTATTTTATTTTTGTAATTATGTACGAACTCGTATGTTAGGAGAATGTATTCTCATTGATTAAATGAGAATAAAAAATAGCAATGTACTAAGAAAAACAATCTTGCACAGTAAAAATAAATAGCTTTGTGATTATTATACTTCACTTGTGTGAAACAAAAACAAACGACATGTTTAACTCATTTACTCTTTGCTGACACTTCCATTCGTTAAAACGGAACGGCCACTCACCTGTACTACATTGAATTCACCGTCTTTAGCTTCAGCACCAAGACAAATCTGCTTGATTACCAATTTTTGGTCTTCGGCGGTAGTAGTTGGCGCTTCCATTTCATATTGCGCCAAAGGTTCCTTTTCGCTAAGCGTCACTCCTGAAACAATAAGTATATACAATTCTTTTTTAAATAAATTCTAAATTAAGAAAACGACATGCCTATGTAATATTTTTTATTTATATTCAGAAACATAATTTAAATGATTACCGTAGAATTCTTCTCGCTCCATTTTTAGTATAGATCAAAAAGTTTTCAATGTCAGATTTTTTACTTTTTACTAAATTTTATTCAAAAACTACACGTGCCAACCACCAGAACCAACACACACGAAGATGTATTCAAAGAAAGCGGTAAATATAAATGAATATCAAACCTTTTCATGTGCAAGAATGAATGTGAACTCTGACAACCAAGAACGAAAATTGTCATGAAGCAAGCTACGAATAAAAATGCCTTCAAAAAAAACTAATAAATCGTAGTGCTGCCAATGGAAATTTGTAAATTTAAATAGCTTTTGAAAAGCAATTCTTATGTATTTTTCCCTATCCTTATAAGGGATCACTCAATATCGGGTAATCAAACCTCTTTTTATCAAAATAAACAGTTCTTCGTTCATTTAAAAAAAACGATTGTTTTAAGTGTATTATTCTAAAGGTAAAATTAAAATCACCCTTTATTTAAGGCGACTTGAAGATACATTAATAAAAATGAATGGGATTATTTTTCACTTAGACGGTTTTTAGACACAGACTCTTTTGTAACCCAAACCGGTTTATTGTGGGCGAGGGGACGACGAGGAAGGGACCGTCCCACTCGTGATCGGGTGGCACGCTTTGTTGTTCGTAACAGCTCGCTGCTATCCTTTTCAGCTTTCCTTTCCCCTTTCAAATTCTTTGAACGGTTCAAATGAATTCGTCCACAAATTTGAATTCTGTTATCTATTTGTTGTATGTGATATTCAAATATGTATGCACAGAATAATAGAAATATTTTGAAAAATTGTAAATAAGGAAAATTAAGATATAGATTATGGAGTAAAGAAATTATGAATTTTTATACAGCGTAAAGAAATTATGAGTTTTTAATACTTAAAGATTAGGAAATTCCTGTTATAAATTTGGCCTTGAATATATTAGTAGCGGATATTCAATACATTCTGGTGGATTAGGAATTTCCCGTCATAAGTATTTCTTTGCTATTAAGCGGGTAGGTATTATGCAAATTGTTCTACCATATTCATGGTAATTCATTGTAAGCAAAATATGTGACCATCATCTCAACATGCAAATGAAATATGCAACACGCTCTAAGTGTTGCACAGTCGAACCGCACAAAGATTTACGAAAATTTTGTGAATAGGAATGCAGAAAAACTAGACTCGAGTTGCTGGACTCTTTTTGCCCGTGTGAATGCACAGAGCGACACCAAAAGAGATTTTGTCGAAAACGAGGGTCAAAAGAGTTTTTGTGTAAAAGCCGTTTTAGGATATTATCTTATTTTTGTACAAACTAATTTTCCATTGCTATTTTTTTAAATTTGTTTGCATGTTTCAAGGTAAGTTTTTTCAATGTGTTGATAGAAGCAATTTTCCTCTTTATAACAAATGACAGCTTCCCTTAGTAAGCTGAATTCAAATTAGAATTATAATCATTAAATAATAAACATTTGGTATATTAAGAGAGAATTCCGCGACATTCATATACTAACTTAGTTTTCGTGAGTTCATGTGGCAACGCTCTGATGCGGTTGGTTTTTTGACGTTTGTTTTTAGGAATTGTTTTGCGAATATCCGAATTAAGGCATTTACAAGTTGACGGCATCTTTTTGCAATTTTCCTTTCCCGTCTTGCCGGCTTGAATTGGACCACACATTTTCTTTTTGCTCGCTCGTTCGTGTGCTCATTCGCTCGTTTGTTCGATTTACACAATTGCTGTTCGGGTTTTCTGTGCAAATTCTCAGCGTGTATTTCTTAACTACAAAATCAAAACTTATCTAAACAATCACAATGTCGGAGGAATCATTCTATGGTAAATATAAATTATTACATTCGGCTAAATAGCTTGCAGGGTCTATTTTAAAATTTTTTGCACCGGCAACTCAGTTTCACAAGCTTTAAAATGGCGCCGTCTGCTCTTGGTTACCGGTTGTGATTAGATTCTCCAAGACTAGTTTGTCATACAAATCTATCTATTTGAATAATTTATAGAATTTGGGTTAAATTGTGATTTTTACCTTTAGGTGTCACACTCACTGGCCAGGATAGTTCAGTGCCATGGGATGTACTTTCCAATGATGAGGATTTTCCCCGCGGACAAAGACTCATCATCAAACAGATTTTGTTGGGCGCTGAAGCGAAAGAAGACGAGTTTAACGTTGTGGAGGTAAGCGAAATGTGTATAACCTGTAAATGGCTTAATCAAAAAGTTGTTATATAGTAGCTACAAATTTTAAAGATGCACGTGTGTATGTATACCAGCATTATTATGGTAAATATCTCGCGCTAATAATTTTATTTGATACGGTGATTATAAAACCGTTGGAAATGTGATCTGATGTACATTTATAATACATATGTTATAATTGAGGGGTTTTGTGAGTCAAACTCAATGTGTTTACAATATATCAAATATTATCTCTGAAATTCATATGAATATATTAGGGTTTAAAGGGACGACTAGTTGTATTAAAATTAATTCAATACCATAAACTATAGCTGTTGTTGTTGTTGACAGTCCTTAGCCGGATAAAAAAGCCGGGTTCAATCCGGTTACGTAGATCCGACGATCGTGGGAATAATCTCTCTACGTTGTCAATCAGCTCTCGCGATCTCTACACACCGTTGTTTTTGCAAAAGATTCAGGTCTTTTGCTAAAAATTTAGCATTGAAACGCTTCATACCCGAAACATTAACTAAAATGTGTTGAATAGATACATAAGAGATGTTGAGATTCTGTGCTATTTCTCTGATGCCAACCCGACGGATTATAAGCATGGTTTTTGTTTTTTCAACTTTTTTTTAAAGTAGACTCCCCAAAACATTTCTGACACTTTTTTAACGATTTCGTAACCGTGAAATCATTGGGAACACAAAAATTCAAGCAAACTCGTTAATTCCTTTTTCCATGGTAAAAATCGTATATAGATTTTTTATTTAACAATTTATTAAGTTCACAATTTATTAAGTTCAAAATTTATAAATAAACAAAGTCCAGTAATTATATGAAGCAACAGCAGGGAATAGCCTTAATCATATGTATTATAAATCGAAACAAGTCGTAAGGGATAAGTTCGGGTGTAATCGAACTCTTACAACTTGCAATGATCAAAGACGGGGAAATACCTTCAGGTGTCCACAAAACTTGACAAAAAAAATGATGCAAAAGAATTCAAGATTCATTGTCCGACGAAATCGTGAGCGGATTATTAATACATTTGTATCTAATTAATGTGTGTATAATATAGATTATAGACTCACTTCGTTTTAAAACTATATTTTACTTCTCAGTCCTTTTTCTTCTCCTCCAATAATATTAAAATCATTCTTAAATTAGATATACCTATGTACATATGCGACATAATATTATATATTGAATTGATGTGCAAATTGATTATATTAGGGATATGAGTTTTGAACCAACGTTTTAGAAAAGCTCCTCCAGTTAATTTAATTTAAATCTCACATTTTTAGGGACGTAAACGTTTTAAAGTAAGGTGAAAACTCGGAAATCACTATGTATAGGGTATAATGGGGTTCAGGGTTCTAACTTTTAACTCAGGTATACACGAGAACATATTTTCAAGCAATTTTATATATACATATGGTAACTCAAACATTGACCGACATATTCGTCATAAAGAAAATCATTACACATAAGCATGTATGTAGTATATCGAAGTCGAGGTAATTAGTAGACCAATTTCATATATAATTTTGCTAAGTTGTCTTACATATTGACCGATATACAGTTACTGACAATAAAATCGAATAAAAATTTGATTCACCACCACATATTTGCGAAAAAAAAGTATTATTACAGTTCTTACGAAGAAACAATTATTTTAATAATAGTTAACAAAATTTAGTTTAAACATTTCAAAGCAAAAATAAATTAATAAAGATTTAAGTATTATCAGCACCCAACTTTTAAGGGAAATGCATGTAAGTTAGAATTTTGTTGTAAAACATTAATTTGCGAGTACTGAAGTTGGTATTGAATACCACGCAACTTGGACTTTTCCCTATAGTTCCTCCTAACTTCCTGGTTTAATGGACCCAGCTAACTGGGGCGGCTACTACCCATTCCTACGGACGTCATCGTTGGCGAGCGCTGATTCCGCAAGACGATTGCTGCTGCTACCGCTCGCTTCATACGGGCTGAAAGAATCGTGGAACTCCTCCCTAATTTCCCAGCCGAAGCAGCTGTATTAGCAAACGAGCGCGACACCTTACGCCATGTCGATCCCTGTGATCCATGAATAAGGGATCTCAATTTGGAGATTCGGCAAATGGTAAATCAACATAAGCGGACAAAATGGATAGAGCACCTGAAGTCCTGCAATCTCTCCTCCGGTGTAAGTAAGCTTTGGACTACTGTCAAGGCCTTGTCTAATTCGAAGGGACATGACGACCGGGTTGAAATTCAATTCGATTGCCATGCCGCCTCGGACCCGAAGAAGTGCGCGAGCTATTTTAGCCGGCAGCTTACACTGCGCCCTTCAACCGATAAGGCCAAAAGATGTGCGGCTGCGCAAAATGCTAAAAGACTGCGCACCACTTACTTTCACCGATGGGGAGGTTCAGAATGTCATCAAAAAGGCCAAATCGTCTAAATCCATTGGCCCTGATGGAATAAGCATGCTGATGCTAAAAATCTAGGCTCGACGGGAGTAAGCTACCTCACCAAGGTCCTCAACTTCTCGGATGTCCACTCTTCAAATATCCGATGTGTGGAAAGTCGGAAGAGTGGTTGCACTACTGAAACCTGGAGAACCCGCCATCAAAGGGGAGTCCTATCGCCCGATAACTCTCCTTTGAGTCTAGCAGACCATCAGCATGGCTTCCGAAAAGTGCACAGCATCACCACAGCACTTAGCGTCATAAACGCCCAGATAATCCATGGCCTAAACCAAAAGCCAACCTGCGAGAGGACGATCGTCGTAGCGTTGGATCTGTCAAAAGCTTTTGACACAGTCAATCACACAACGCTACTTGAGGACCTAGAACAATCCACGCTCCCTCCAGGGACTATGAACTACCTGAGCGGTAGGCATTCATCCGTACTGTTTCGAGGTCAAAATTCCACAGCGACCATGTTCACAAATTGGACGAAGGAATACAGACTGGACCTGAACATTTCAGTCGATGGCACAAAAATTCCGACAGTTAATAACCCTAAAATTTTAGGCGTAACATTGGACAGTCTGTGCTCCTTCACTCCTCACACGACCGCGATAACTGCTAAAGTACAGAGCCGCAACAAAATCCTCAAGTCGCTTACCGACAGCTCATGGGGGAAAAGACAAAGAAACGTTGCTGGCAACATACAATGCAATCGACCGGCCGGTCTTCACCTACTTTGCATCTACAACGCAGACAAAGAAACTTCAGACATGCCTGAACGGAGCCATCAACACCTTCACATCACACACACCCATCGCAGACGAAGAGCTCGAGTGGCCACGACAGTAAATCGCGTACTTGGAGTCAAACCACCACCCATCGCAGACGAAGAGCTCGAGTTGCCACGAGAATCTAGACCCTTCCGTAATTTCGTTCTGGATACTGTAGCAGGTTAAACTCCTACCTATCGACCCCGACATACCAAATATATAATATGTCAAGAAGCAATGAGTCTCCGCATGACACCAACCCCCTTTTTGCATAATTGATATTTTTTTAGTATCCGTATATCACAGAAATACTTTTTCCTCTTACATTTCTAAAAATATCCCAAAAACGAAAGTATAAAAAAGCTTTACCGTTCTAAACATATCTCGATTAGTCTTAGGTGATACAAACAACACATGTTATCCAGAGATTTATCATTTTATTTGATTAAATATCATTAACGAAATTAAACGTAAACAAAAACATCTTATGTTGGTATCGTAATTGCCTCGCAATCTGTTTCTAATGTTGTGGTACTTTGATGCATATTCATCGATATGACTTCCTGTAATGTTTTACTGAATTTAAACATTTTGCGCACGTCAGGATGTAAGCGACAAACGACTCCAGCGGATGGTATTTGCCAATTCCAACATAAAAGTTCACAGTTTAAGGCAAGCAAATCTTGTTTTAAGCTGAGAATATTCTGTAAAAAGAGAAATTCTACTGAATTTACAATCCGTTATTCGGCTTTAATTTTGTTTACCAGTGCTACAGTATAGTCAATTGTGTGAATTTCCTCTCCTCTTATTACAACTTTTCCAATTTTTTCACTATGCGCTGAAATGTATCTGACTACTTTAGATTTTAGATACTCCGCAGAGGAATAGTTTAAATTTTCTTGAATATCCACCATAGCTATCACAATATCTTTTAGAAGCTGGAAATTAAATAACGTATAGACTTTTGTACCGTTGTTTAACCAATGTCACAACAAACTTTTTCTTCTGTGATAATAATTGTAGGTCTCGCACTTTTGTATAAGATAAATAATGTATTCACGACTATCCCACAAACCATGCCATATTCGAGTGTCCAGAAAAGACAGCAAAGTACTGTTACTAAGAAGGGAATCATATCAGTTTCTAAAAAAACATAAATACATATATATACGTTTTCTTTTCGGGATTGCCAAATATGCTAAATGGAATTACTATACTTTTCGAACGCCAAATTTCAGCAATTTTATCATACTCCACCATGAAAATCATAGCAGCTATAATGATAGCAGATAAGGTGGATTTTGGTATGAAATAAAATGTATTGGTGAGAAAAGCCAAAGTCACTAGCACTAATATGCCGGTTATAGCGCCACCAAGGACTGTTTTAACGCCGCTAGAATTATTTATTGCTGTACGCGTAAATGACCCCGAAATAGGAATGGATGAGAAAAAGCTGCTGAAAATATTGGCTAAGCCTAGAGCAATCATTTCTTGTGAAGCGTCGATAATTTTTCCCATCGCTGTTATAGAAGAATGAAATTATTAATAAAAACCAAGTAAAAAGTTAAAAGTAAATATAATATAATAAGATGTATGTACGTACAAAAAGATTTCCCCACAGCTATAGTTTCGAGCACAGCAATAACGGGTATAGAGATTAGTGAAGCACCCAAATCCTCCACCATGTCTTCTAAACCAATATATGTGCCATTGATTTTAGTATGAAATGGTGGTATTTTAAAGGGTGGGAGGCCAGGTACAATTTTTCCGCTTACCCGAAAAGGTAACCAGTCATCGCTACTTAGGAAATAACAGAGTATAATGCCAACAACAACCGCCAACGCATTGCGGGACAATGATATGTATTTAGTTAGACTTTTATAAGAACAGGGAATATCTTTTATTTTCTGAAATCGCAAGAAAACATCAATTTAAGCACAATAATAATTTTGTTTGTTGCCTTTACTTACGCGCATAATTAACAGCATAATTAACGTTATTATACCCAGTAAAGCATCGTTGCGTTGGGTGTTGTTTATATGATTAAAAAAATATATCCACGAATCTATAAACTCATTGCTCGCACCTAAATTGAAAAAAGTTGTTTTGTATTAAATATTTTGGTCTTAGTTCAGTAGCACTTCCATCAGTAGTAGAACTTACTTGATATTCCAAACAAGTTATTAATTTGTCCACTAGCAATTGTTATTGCCGCGGCCATAGTAAAGCCCGTAGTCACGGGCATCGATATAAATTGCACTAGAACTCCAAGATTTAAAATACCCATTAGAAATGTGACGACACCGGTGAAAAAACATGCCAATATAGCGTAATCAGCATTGTGGGTGTGCGCCTGGACCATGATAGACATAATGGCAGTGGGACCTAAAATTTAAAAGATGCCACGAGCGTGTAGTTTTTTTCTCATGTACATGAATTGTACGTAACTCACACTTACCGATTGTCACATCCTTGCAAGTGCCAAAAAATATATAAACAAAACATCCCATAAAAGCTGAATATAACCCATATTGTGGTGTTAAGCCAGCTATTGTGCCATAAACGATCGCCTGTGGTATAGCGGTTAGGCCCACCGTTACGCCCGCAACGAAATCGGGTATAAGAAAATTCAATTCATATTTCGGTAACCAGGTAATGATGGGGATAAATTTTTTTACGCTGGCGGTTGTGCAACAATTCTTTGCAGATTTGACAATTCCTTCATATATATTTGGTAATTTCTCGTGGTAGATTTCTTCATCTGTATACACATTGAATAATATATATAAATCATCAATATTCGACAAAGCAACATGCATTTTAGTAATCACATATTTTTATTAATATTCTATTGTGTTCATACAATGTTTTACTATCTTCTTGCGTTCTTTTAATGCAGATGCAAATTACTTGCCATGTGAATATGACATTTTAGTTCCATGCTCCATAAAAGTAGCATTTATCTTATTTATATATATGTATATGCATGACAATAATTTCACCATAGTAATAAAAGATTTTAGAACAATTTGGCCTTTCTACAGAACTCGACTTTTACACTCAATGTACTGAATTCTTTCCTCAATTAACTAGTTTGTAATTCACTCAGTTAAAAAATAATATTTTGTCCGTCGATAGAGAAAATCAAACTATGGAGTTTATTTACTGCTTATAAAAAATTTACCTAAAAAAGTGTTCCAGTTTTTGGCAGGCGAATGCTTGAATCTTCTTCAAAATGAATTTTCTTAAGCGTCGTAAATCTCGTAGAACATTTTCGTATCCGATACTTGTCATTTAGATTGAACTAAGATTTATTTCTTTTTTTTCGTAGCGATTTACCTTAAATTTGACGTAATAGAAGCAAAACTTCTATCCAAGCTTTTTGTTTTCTCATTAAATTTGGAAAAATAAAATTATTTTTCTTTATTATTTGACTTGTTTAAGAACACTTATAGGGTTAAAATAAATTAATGTTTAACTTTGTGGTTACATATTATATAAGTATTTTAAAAATGGCACTAATTTGTGAACAAATTTGATGTTTTAAAACTTATCAGCAAATAATAAATTTCCTTAAATCGATTAAAATTATTTTTTGCGAATTCTAGAACATATTTAAATTTTTGCACGTAAGAAAAACTTGGTTGTTTGACGCTTTTTTTTTATTCATATTTATTTTTTCCTTCATTTTCTAACGTGTGAGTTTGTCTGTATGTATCAAGTTTCTATGTAACTTTCAATTAACATCACTTAATGTATTTTGTTTGTCAATGTCAATACACAATAAGCTGTGTTCACCGAAATTTTGCCTATTCAGGTCGATCATGGAATTTAACATGTTTTTGCATCTTAAATATTACTTCCTGCACACCATATTCACACATTTTGTATTCGCACCTTTTAGCTCGGTCATTTTAAGTTATATTTAAGGTTTTTATTTTATTTTATTTTTATTAGTTGTTTTAATTAACAGCGTTTCGAGTTTTAAAATTTTTTGTTCAAACTTCATATATCGGTTATTGCTGCTCCGATTGTTGCAGTTTTGGCCAACGTCTGATTCGAAATGAAATGTTACCGTGTTTAGATGGGCGTTTTTACTTAGCCCACCTTTAGTTCGATTTGAACATAATATTCGGCATAGTATGTGACGTTTCGTACATGTACACTTCTTTTTATTTTTAGTTCGGCCAACAAGGGCCACCCGCCTGTCTCTAGGCTAGCTTAGCGCACACTTTCATCGTGTCTTTGGCAGGCAGTATCTCCGATTCGTTGTTATGTATAAGTACTTATTACATTTATTTTAGTGAATGTGTGTAAATTACAGGAATTATTTCAGATATAGATATGTAGCTATATTTTATGTTTGAATGACGCTTTCAGTGCTGACTCTCCGTTATCATCAATATGTTAGATTGATTGACAGGTGACTGACTTAGTACTTTCTCTTATTGAATTGCGACAAACAATGAGTAAACTATTTAATTGTGATAAACGTATACGTATTGTATGTGTACATATTGGTATAAGTCTAAGTCTGATTAGCTGGAAATTTATTTCGTCTTACAACAAAACATATTTTACCTAATGATTTTTTAACACCTTTTCAATTTTTTAATGGTAATATCTTTTGCAAAGATTATATAATATCTTAAAATCTTAATTAATATCTTTTACTGTTTTTTCAAAGTGGAAAAGTTGGAGTGAGGCATACTTATGTTAAGGGATTTATTTCATCAAGTCCGTTATCGTTAAATTTTGACATTCTGGAAAATTTTTTGTTGGTATATTTATATGTAATTGCCATCAAATTTGAATACTGTATGTTATTCAATGTACATTCATAGCTTAACATTCTTAAAATCGGTTATGCTTATTTCAAAAGTAGCTAGATAGTCATATAACTCAACTATTATTAAACATTTACAATTAAGATAATAGCCATATAGGCAGGTAGGTAAATCCCAAAACAAAAAAAAAAACGTTAACTTTACCCTTTACAGGTGCATTTTTTAACTTCCCGCTAAGAAAATGGAAAATTTTCTAAAAATCGGGAAGATATTGGTTTCACCCCATTTTGCAAAAATCGAGTTCTCAACAGATCTCGACGTTCTGAGGGTCGAGGAAGCTTCCCCGAACATTTCTACGATGATGTCCGTATGTCTGTATGTATGTGTGGATGTATGTGTGTGTGTGTGGATGTATGTGACCCTCTTATAACTATTAAACTGCTCAACCGATTTGAATAAACTAAACGGCATTCCAAAGGGTTTCATTGCACTTGAATTTCGTGTAAGTTTGGACCCAATCGGACCAGTAGATTTCGAGAAATCTCAAAAATAAAAATTTTGAAAAATCGTTTTTTTCGAATTTTTTCCGATCTTGACCGATCGACACCAAAAACTAATCAGTTCTTAACCTTGAAGAAACACATCGTTTGCCGCAAACCGGGTCGAAATCGGTTGATTTACTTGCTAGATATCGAAAACGAAAAATTTCGAAGAGCTCAAAAGCAGTGAAAAAAGCGAAATTTGAACGTTAGCGTATGAAATTAGAAGGAAGTTGCAGGTATGGCCCTTGAGGCCAACCGTTTTCCACATTTTTTATAAAGTAAAAGGGTATAAAAAGATCTTTATCTTGATTTTGTTCGGTCAGTTTATATCGAGTTTATATGGCATATATATGCTATAGTCCGATATCAGCGGTTCCGTCAAATTATAGCTTCTTGGGGAGAAAAGAACGGTTACAAAATTTCAGAGTGGTATCTCAAAAATTTAGGGACTAGTGTCCGTATATACATACAAACGCTAATTATTTATTTATAAACTTTATAAGGCTTCCGACGTTTCCTTTTGGGTCTTACAAACATCAAACAAACGTTACAAAATCAAATTCCAATTTTAGCACACCTATTTGTTTTTTGACAAAGACCCCTTTTAAACAGACCAAATTCGCTATATTTCAAGCACATGCAAGATAATGTTTGACACTTCTTTGTTATATATCATGTGTCAATTTTGTGATGTTTACGATCTGCATAAGGCTCTAAATAAAAACGGCTTGCCTCATTTGAATCCCCTAGATTTAACAAATAAAATGATTGGCGACTGTAGAAGAAGAAAATAAGTTGACAACGAAAAAGTAACATAAGACGCTATCAGTGATTTATAGCACTGTCCATTTTTTTCCCCAAAACATTGACCAATAGACAAGGAAACAAATTTTACTGATCTGAATGCAAAGTGTATACATACAAGTGCACGCCGCCGATAAGTTGTATAATATGGTGGTATTTATCAATTTCTCCATTCTTTTCATTTCAGGTGCACACAGTAAAAGACTCTCTAAAGATTCCTATCGCCGTGTTAAAGGCTGGCGAAACACGCGCTGTAAATCCCGATGTGGAATTTTACGAAACATCATTGACATTTAAATTGATCAAAGGCAATGGACCTGTTTACATAATGGGCCAGAATATTAAGGACGACGTTGTCGATATCGAGGACGAAGAAACTGACGAGGAAACTGGTGAGGAGGAAGAGGAGGAGACACAACCACAAAAGAAGAAGCAAAAAGTGGAAAATAATTCCGATGGCAAAAACGCTAAAAATAAGAAGAAATAAACAAGTTTTTTAGCAGTCACAAAACAAAAATCCCATACATTCTTCAAATTAATTATTGATTTTAAGCTAAACTGATGAAAACAAAACATCAATCATATAAGATTATTTCAGTTCCTCAGTTAGATTTCGTGATTTCCTGAGTTTTTATATAATTTTACTCAGCTTACCTCAGTAATTTCTTAATATTTATATACAACTAGTTCTTCAAAACACTTGAGAGCGATGGCAATTGGTTAGCCCGTAGTAACTTCAGCCATGACTATTGCCAGAAATTAAGAATTGATTTTCTATTAAATTTGTTTGCTCATTTATTACAGTTTTCAGCAAATAGTTTTAGACAGCGCTAATGCGTTTTAAATGTGTTGGAAACCAAGTAAAAATCGGTTTGTGCTGTGAATAAACGGCGTTTTGGCAGGGATGCTTTCTACAGGCACTGAGTAATGACCACTGAGAAATTATTCCATATTCACTTATTCAATAATATTATAATGCATACGTATCTTGATTGCAGCTATAGTAGAGACTAACATTCTGGAATATAAATATAAACTAAATAAAGTCATCATTCGTAGAATATGTATGTATATGTATTGCGTAAAGTGTGCTACTACAACTTGATAATACAACAAATTACAATTTTGTAGCTGTGCCAGAACGTCAGCTAAAAACTTTCTAACGTGTATTAGTATAAGCCAGTAAGCTCGAAAAAGAGCGCAAAGCTCAGGCACTTTTGAGGTCTATATACTAAAAATTAACACTCGATGGGTGGAGATAAATCTACATGCACTATTGTAATTTGTACATACCAACCTAAGTGATAGAGATTTGTGGAGAAATTATGATGCATACAAATTTGAATGCATATTAAAAAGAAAAAACAAAAAACAAAGGAAAACACTTAAGAAAACAAATAAAGTTTGTTTACAATTTTTAAAAATCTAACTGTTTGAGTTAAATTTTCATTTTCAGTTGAAATTATCTGTTATGAATTACGTTAAGAAAAAGATTTCCATATTTTTCACTATCACGCTCATTAATTTTGATAAGCGGTCATCCATATTTGTGCCTCACATCCAGCAACAATGTAATCATTTGCGGTTATTGAACCGAATGTTTAATCCTCTCATATGTTGTATATGGATGTGTCTCATTGTATATCATATATGGAAGGTCTATAATAATACTCTTGCAAGATGTTGGTACAGAGTATAATAGTTTTGTTCACCTAAAGGCTGTTTGTAGCACCTAAAAATAATCGAATTAGATATAGGGTTATAAATATAATATATAAATGATCACGATGATAAGACGAGTTAAAATCTGAGGGACTGTTTGTCTGTTTGTCTCTGAAAGCGATAAGTTGAGTAAATATTTTATTAAGATATCTTAGTACACGTGTTGCTTGGCAAAAGAGTGAGGACGAGTTCGTAGATAGGCGTAATCAGATCACTGTCACGCCCACAAAATGCCATTAATCGAAATCTTATAAAATGCTATAACTAACCACTAAATTAAGATATAAACCTGTAATTTGGTACAGGGGATTGTAGTAACAAGGTACATGTGGGTTAAAAATTTTGAAAAAATGAGCGGACTACAACAACGCTGTGCTATATGGAAAGCACAATTTTAAAATCTATATGAATCTTTCATTTTATAGTACACAAATCAAGCACCAATGAACATATTCAGAGGAAACTGCACAAATAGTACATCTAAAAACTGTCAAAATCAGACCATAACTGTTCAAGCCACCACATACCGAATATATTGACCCCAGTTCGTATGGCTGAATTTTTGCCGAAAACTGTGATTTTGTGATATATGAGATTCGGAGTAAGTTTTTTTTTTTATATAGTACTAGACGCTCGCTCGCCTACGTCCGCCCCCCGCCGAGCGCGAGCTAGCTCGCTCTTATGTTAGTTGATTCTCGACAGCAGCAGAAAACTTTTATATATAATAGAGAGATACCCTTGTGTCAAAAATGGGTTGAATGATTTCCGACTTTCCATCTAAACTTAACACGTTTAGGTTGGTCGCAATGTGTAATATTTTAATGAAATTAAGTGGACACATTTTCTTAAAAGTTATAATATTTATATTATCCCTAATATAATTAATTCCAATTCTGTGGTTGACGTTTTTCACATCAACCCAATATATAAATTTAGCCTCTTTGGTTGAGTAGAATATAGTAATAAAACAGGAGTCTATGACCTTCAAAATAAGTTAATATGATACCAAATTTGGTTGTAATCTATTCACGATTTCATCGAACAATGAAGTTGAAGCTTTTCGCTACATTTTTATACTCTCGCAACCTCTTGCTACAGAGTATAATAGTTTTGTTTACCTAACGGTTGTTTGTATCACCTAAAACTAATCAAGTTAGATATAGGGTTATGTATATATAAATGATCAGGATGAAGAGACGAGTTGAAATCCGGGTGACTGTCTGTCCGTCCGTGCAAGCTGTAACTTGAGTAAAAATTGAGATATCTTTGTGAAACTTGGTAGACATGTTTCTGGGTACCGTGAGACGGTTGGTATTGCAGATGGGCGTAATCGGACCACTGCCACGCCCACAAAACGCTATTAATCAAAAACAAATAAATTGCCATAACTAAGCTCTGCAATAAGATACAAGACTTATTTGGTACACAGGATCGCATTAGGGAGGGGCATCTGCAGTTAAAATTTTTTTTTAAAGTGGGCGTGATCCCGCCTCTAATATTATTTAATGTGCATATCTCCTAAACCGTTAATGCTATAATAACAAAATTCACTGGAAGCAAATTCACTTCTATTGACGGTGTGAAAATAGTTGAAATTGGGTGGCAACTCCGCCCACTCCCCACATAACGGTACTGTTAAAAACTACTAAAAGCACGATAAATCAAGCATTAAACACGCCAGAGACATTAAATTTTATCTCTTGGATTTCACTTTTAGGAGAAAACCCATATCTTGAGATCTGCTTAACCAATTTCAACAAAATTCGGTACATAACGTTATTTTCATATTTCTATGTTATAGTGCGAAAATGGGCGAAATCGGACTACAACCACGCCTATTTCCCATATAACACCATTTTCAATTCCATCTGATTCTTTCACTTTCCACTATGCATATCAAGCAACAATGACTATATCGGGGTAAAACTTTGCGTGAATAATACGTTTAAAGTATGCCACCTTGTGACCAAAAATTGTCTAAATCGAACCAAAACTGTTCAAGTCCCTAAGTACTAAATATGTGGACCCCAGTGCCTATAGTTGACCTTCTACCGAAAATATCAGCCAATCCACAAAGAAATCTCAAACGAGTATACCATTTGACTTTGCGAGAGTATAAAATGTCCGGTTACATCCGAACTTAGCCCTTCCTTACTTGTTTAATATATAGTTCGGATGTAACCGAACATTTCATACTCTTCCAACTTGCAAGTATCAAAGCCTGGGAAATGCCTTCGGGCGTTGGCAAAACTTTATATTAAACAAGAGAGGAATGTCTAAGTTCGGGTGTAACCATTAATTACTCGCTTACGGTAAAGTGATATATGGGATATTCGTTTATATTTTAATTGCATGAAGGAAGTATTGCATTCATTATTTACAATCACAGGCAAGAAGATACACTACAAGTATTAGTAAAAAGAGATTATTTCGAAATTTCATTAAGATTTCTTACATACTGACCGATAAATGCGGTATAAAATTAACCGGAAGTCCGAAAATATTTATATTAAATATATGGGAGCTAAGGGAAGTATTCACCCCATTTTTAGCGCAAGGGCATGCTGTTATCACAAAAATATTATCCCCGAATTTCAATACTAGAACTCATAGATTTACCATATGTTCGGTAAAAAATCAGCCATATGCACTAAGGTGCACATTTGGTGTCTGGGTTCTTCAAAATTTATAGTCCGATTTCGACAATTTTTGGGCGTTAGATGGAATACCTTGAGGACTTTACTTGCGCAAAGTTTTACTCTAATAACTTTATTGATGTTGTGAAAGAATCAGATAGAATTAAAAATTTTGTTATATGAAGAGTAGGCGGGGTTGTAAACCGATGACGCCCAGTTACAGTGTATGATAGGAATAATTGGGTAACCTCAGATACCAAATATGGTTGAAAATGATCCCATAGTTCCTGAGATATAGGATTTCAACGTAAAGTGGGCGGTGTCATGCCCTTTGTCTAATTTTTACACCGGCTACCACAAAGTCTTCTCGGCAAGTTCGGTTCAGCTAACTTCAGTGGCTTGGAACATTTGTACATCAAACCATTTAGAGGGCGGGAACACCCCCATCTAAATAAATCTTTAGTCCACTACTGTGATTCATTGTACCAAATTACCGTTTTGTATTTTTATTTACTGCTTAGTTTTGACACCTTATAGGTTTTCGTTTAATGGCGTTTCGTGGGCCTGGCTGTGTTCCGTTTACGCCCATCTGCAATACCAACCTCAAGTTATTGCATGCACGAACAGACAGTCATCCGGATCTCAACTCGTTCGTCAACCTGATCATTTATATATATATAACTCCATATCTATCTAGATTAGTTTTAGATGATACAAACAACAGTTAGGTGAACAAAACTATTATACTCCGTGCAACATTTTGCGAGAGTATAAAAATGTTGCGCAAGAATTCAACGTTCATTATTAAATATTCATTCATTCATAAAATATAGTTCACTCACTAAGTTTTATTGCTAAATTTTTCTTTGTTAAAATTATATTAAAATCATCTTTAAATGAAATACATCGTATGTGATATAAGTATGCTCAACCGAAGAGCATAAATTTAATATATTGAGTTGATGTGGAAAACGTCTACCAAAGGGTCGGAATTCATTATATTCGGGATATGTGGTCTAGACCAACTAAATTCATATTCAGCCCGAAACCAATAAAATTATTTTATGATTTAAATAAAACTTGCTCACTTAATTTGATTAAATTTAAGTTTACTCAAAATGTGTGACGATTTGAAGTCAGGCGGAACTCACTATACGGTGTATATGGGGGCACAGAAAGGTCTGAACTTGTTGCATTAACCTTTTAATTCAAGAAATTTTATAAATAAATAATTCACACAGTGACTGACATATTCGGCATAATATAAGGAAACCTTATCGACATTATCTTCATTTTGTCTGTAGTCTTCGTCTAGCGAGTGGTTTTTGCAAATTTGTTATCAAGTTTAAAAATAAGTCTAATTAAAAAAATATTCTGCTTATCTGCATATGTGATGGAATACAAATATATTTACGTAGAGATTTGTGCATCTGTATACTTTTGTTTGTATGCTTATGTGAATGTATGTCTCCATTGTTTTGAAAGCAGAAAATATAATTTAATAGCTCCAAATTCACCAAACGATAAAAATCTGTCGCCTCGTATATTAGTAGCTATTGCATAACAGATAACATAAGAGTATTGATTTGAATTGAGCTGTTAAAACCAGCAAAGCTAAAGCAATCAAAACCAAAGTAAAACAGTGGCATTGAGGACAAATAAATGTTAGAAGGCACATATTTTTGTATCGATATATTGTACAAATGTAAAAATCTAGTCAAAATAGAAATATGTACATATTTACATACCTATATGCATACATATTGTACTTGCATCTAAGTAGTAAATGCTCACGTTTATATTTCCATGAAAATAATGGCCCATTCTGCTCATACACTAATTGAAAACATCAAACAAATTCTTACTTAATGTAATCGGGACTTAAGTTTTACCGCAGATTTGAAAAAGGCTACGTTAAACAAGAACAAAATGTTAAACGATATTAATCTCACGT